AGACACGTGACACTTTTTTAAATATTTTCTACGCTACTGCTAATGTTGTCGAAAGCACACAATTTCCATGTAGAGGGTTCAGTTATCTATCAAATTTATTTCTTTGAAAATTTAGGCAAAATCAAAATTTAGGCTGAATCAAAAACTACTAGTTAGTGGTTGTTAGAGTATAGAAAAAAAATGATTAAAAAGGGCAAACATTGGTTGGGTAAAAAAAATAATTTACTTATATTGTCAACAGTTTTGACACTATCGTTTCTAATTTATTATTAAAATCGCCTTTATATCAAATATTGAGTAATTGTAGGTAATAATATGGAGTTTGATATCACCTTTTGTAATGTAAGAGATGTAAAGGCATACTTTAATAAGGTGTATTGTGTATATTTTTATTTCTTTTAATTTTTATATGTAGGTACACCTTTTTACTGTTTTTGACTGTTCTGTTGGTTGTTTTTATTGACTTTGACTTTTATATACATTATTTTTGATCTTAAGATATTGTATTGTTCTTGTGTATTGGTCTTTTTTATTCTTTTGTAACTTTTATATTAATTTATAGGATGTATTTTTTTCTNTATTAAATTATTAAATAAATAAATAAATAAACAAATAAATAAATAAAATACATAAATAAATAAATAAATAAATAAATAAATAAATAAATAAAGAAGATGCAATTTTTAACAATCTTACTTAAAGCAGGTAGAAATTGCAAAAAATAGTAAACTTTTATTTTAAATTTAATTTAATATAAAAATAGGTTGGTAGAAAATTTCCGGGTTGATTGTCATGTCGTTGGATTAGGTTTCTTGACGTTTCGAGTGACATATCGCTCTCTTCCTCAGAAGTAAGTCTGAGAGTTTTCGAATTTTGGAAAAGAGCGATATGTCTTTCGAAACGTCAAGAAACCTAAACCGATAACGTTTGATTAAGTAAATCAACGTTATCGTCAAAATCGTTTGAATACACTTTTTGCTTTAGGTATCCCCATAAGAAATAATTTAATGGGAACAAATCGGGTTCCCCTGCAGGCCCATATATTGGTCCATGTCGTCCAATCCACTTGTTTGGGAAGTGAATGTCAAGCCAGTTTCTCATTAGAAGTGTGGAATGTGCAAGGCACTTGTTGAAATATTAGTTTCCTTCTGAACTCTAAATTTTCGCAAGAACAAAATTATTCAGAATTTGTAAGAATTTTGATTTTTTTCCAAATAGCAAGAACCAATTATTTTATGATGCATTATGCCACACCATATATTTTTAATTTTTGACTAATAGTTATCAATGGAAAATTTGGATTATCTTTAGGCCAGTATCTACAATTTTGAGAGGAAACCACGCCATTAGTTGTGAATGTTGATCATAATTAAATAAAATGTTGTGATGAAAGAATCTGTTTTCAATCAGTTGAACAAAATTCCAAACGACGACCAACATCTCCATAAAGCAATTTATGGTTGACTGGTTTGAATAGATAGATCTTGTTGTATATTAAAATTCTTTGAATATGAGTTTTGCTAATATCTATGTTTTCTGACCTTTTCCTGAGAGACATCTTTGGACTGTCTTATACACAATCCATAACTACAACAGTAACAGCATCATCATCTTTGTATTCTTTTTTTTATCTTTTTAATATTCTTTACATCACCAGTGGCATCGAATTTTATAATTAACTCTCGAATTGCTCTACGAGTCACAGTTACATTTGGATACTTTTGATTAAATATTTGTATTGCATATCGATATGAAACATTACCGATTCAATAACATTTCACAAGATAAATTCGTTGCTCCAGAGTTAACATTATTAGATAATAAAAATTATTCAGTGGGCAGTTAATAAAAATAAATATGTTGACTTTGACATTGATAAAGAAATATCCACGGTAATGGTTTGTAAGATAGTTGAAAATTGCGGCGTCTTTTTACCTGCAAAATGTGATTATTGTTCTTTTCTGGCTAAATCCCGTATTTAAGCATTTCTTGAGTTCTCGAGCAACTTTTTTAAATGCAGTTTTTAACGAAAACAAAAATTAAAGGCACCATTATAATCTACTAAATGCGCAAAAAATTCTTAAATATCAACAAATCGCCGTGACATTGCTTATTACATATTCGATTATTGTTCATGGTTTCCCAAGATAAACAAAATATTTTATCAAAAATAACTTTTTCTCGAAAAATCAACAGTAAAAAGTCTCGAAAAAAGTTTACAAGAGTGCGGTACCCTATCCGGGAACACACTGTATAATTTAGTTCTATTAATATTTATCAAATTATGATGCCTCTACTGCTTATTACTATGTCACGACCATTTTTGTGCCTCAGTATGATACAATGCAATTTGAACGCGACGTTCCTGCTTTAGTACCAACCTTAAGAATGGAAATTGAAGTCCCGTTTCATCTAACAAAGTACTACAATATTCATATAGATTTCGCTACAGGAAATACGTTTATAGTAAAAATGGTACGATTATTTGATTCATTCAAATTCCGGCAAAACACACCTAAAAAAAACGAGAAAATGCCAGGTGCACGCACACGTGCACGATAATGAGTTGTCCGGCCTATACGTCCATCCCACTCTCTTGCTATCTCATAATTGCATATGAAAAGAGAAGGGTAATAAAATAATAAAAACTCCAATTTGCGGCCGCCGGTTTTTTGTTCTGAAAATATTTCTATTTTCTATCTTCTACATATTATTATGTACATATTTACAAAAAAGGAGGATGGCAAGTGGTTGTACAAATTTATAATATTTGCAGCCAACTAAAAGTTTTATTTCATATTATTTTCTACATTTTAGTACTTATATGGATTCGGACCAGAGTAGGTGCGAATGTAATTATTTCTTGTATGGATCTTTGAGCTGTTATCTTTTATTGTTGCGTTGTGGCTGCGAAATATTTTATTTGTGGAGTTTACTATTTTTTATATGAAGGAAAAAACATTAACAGAGTAAGTATTACAATTTGCTAGGCATAGTTGTACTTAGTACTAAATTCAAGTAAATAATAG